CAGTGCCCGCCCGGCCCTAGAGCAAGCTGGGGGCCAGCGCTTCTGGCGGCGGCTTGAGGGGGCGGCAAAATCCTGCTGCTTCGTGCTGGCTGTGTTTTTAAATCTGTCGGGTATCTCGCCCTGTATGAAGTCAAATGGACGTGGTGCTCATGCACTGGAGAAATAGATGCCCGTGAGTTCCGTGGCTGTGATGACCCGCGGTTCAGACAATGCAATGACTCTGCCGTGTTCCCCTCTAAAAGCTGCTTGGGCCTGTTGGGAGTGGCGGATGCAGTTCCGGATGCTACAGTGCCAGTGTCGGTGCCTCCTGGGCACTGTACGTATTCAGGTGATGGAATTTGTGCACCATACGAAAGATGGGCCTGTTTAAACACCGTAGGAAGACAATTTCTTTAAGGTTGAGATGATTAATATATTAATAATATATAGATAAACATACAAGACTTTCAGTTTAAGGGTCTAGTCATTTCTGTATTATGCAATAAACAGTAACTAATGATGCTGTTATATATGAAACTTACTATATAAACTTCCTGCTTCCAAATCTCTACAAATGGCCTGTTGCCTGCTTAGTAAGTCATGGCAATTTGACTTGGATGCCAGTGATAATTTCCACCGTGGAAGTAGAATAGAGATAATGACTAGATACAGAATCAAGCATGCACAGTGTTGAACTGTGAAGATGAATGTTTTGACTTGCCCTTGCTTTTTTTATTTTTCCTTTTTTTAATGCTTCCCTCATGTGGAATTTTCTTTCATAGAGCAGGAGACTAGAATATCTTCTTGACCTGTGTTACCATTATTACTCAATATCATGACCTTCATGGGATTGTCAAATGATCTGGGGGTGGAAAGAAACTTCAAACTGACAGATGACACCATCAGGCTATCTTGAATACCAGACAGGAGTCCTTTTTGGAAAAGAATTTGGAAAAGTTCCTTGTAACACCTGAAGATAAATTCTATCTCTTTTATGTGTTTGCTGACTTAACTTTATTCTTAGCCTAAAAAGATAACAATAGTAGAATTAAAAGAGACACTGCAAGCTTTAAATTTATACTCCAGCTCTATTTGCAAGTATTTTTACAAGTTCTTTTAACAAGGAATTTCTTCGTTCATCAATGGTTTGTATACAGTCGGGGTTTTTTTCTGTCTGTGTGAGGTATGTTTCCTCTGAGGACTGAGGTGCTCGCAGAGGCAAAAATTCTTCCCTTAAAGTTTTTTAAGTGTATTATATTTGTCACTCTTTTCAGTTCATCTATTATCCATCTCAGTTTCTCTAAATTCATTTCAAAATACAGCATTGTCTTAAACTTGGCAGTGCAATCAAGGTATTATAATAAAGTTACATGGATCCAAGCAAAAATAATGCATCGTCACTGAATTAAAACAGAACACGGGGTAGTGGGGAAGAAGAGAGCAAAGTGTGCGGGGATCTGCTACAAGCCACATCAGTCATTCAGATAATAACACACATATCTGGAGAATTCTGTGCTGGAAAGAGATTACTGCCATTAGAAGAGAGGCTTTGCTTTGAAATATTTAAAGCTAAAATGTGATGTGGTGTTCTTTTTGCTTGAATTGTTTCCTTGGCTCCCTTACCTCTCAAACTTTTACTGTCTTAGTTGTTTCGCGTGCATTTCCCACTGATCTGTGGTGTTCTTTTTTCTCCTCTGGTGCTTCTAACAGTCTTCATTTTCACCAAGTCACCAGTCAAAATCTATTTAGTTTCTTTGCACATGTATATTCCCTAGTGCACTGCAGCTGTTACCTACTTTTTCAAGACAGAAGACATACAATTGTGACCAGGTTAAAGATGCCTGGGTGAAAAACTGGGTGGCCCTTTGGGGCCAAAGGGTAGTGTCAAGAGTTCGGAGTCTTAAATTTACAATTACAGGTGGCCAATTTACAAGCTGTGTTCCCCAGCATTCAGTAGTGAGGGCTGATACCCCTTAGTATTTTCAACAGCAGCCTGGAGGATGTGTTGGAATGCCCTTTCAAGTTTGCAGATGACCACAGTCCAAGGGGAGGAGTTGACTGGAATTCCAGTTGGAGAAGGGGTCTTGCAGAAGCTTCATGAAGTTCAGCGAAGTTTAGCACTTGGAACAGAAGGCTAAGGAGCAGCTTGGTGAAAAAGAACCCAGATTCCTGCTGGACAGCAAGTTGAATACAAATGAGCAGCGTGTCCTTGTGGTGGTGAAGATTAACCACATTAAGCAAAGTGCAGACTGTGGATCAAAGGAAGTAATTATTGCCATCTGTGTGGCACTTAGGAGGCAGCATCCAGAATACTGTGTCTGGTTTTGATCCCCCCAGAGGAAGAGTCTCAAGAACTGGATTTCGTCCAGCAGAGGGTCACTGACGTGATCACTGTGCTGCATGCAGCACAGGGCATGCAAGGAGAGTTTGAGAGATCAAGGTTGGTTCATCATAAGGAAGTCTGTAAGGGGGTGTCTTCAACTATCTAGTTTGTAGAGAAGACAAGAACCAGCATTTCCTCAAACGTGCACAGAAAAAGACAACAGGCAGTGAACAAAAGTTGCAACAAGGGAATTTCAAATAAATGTAAGGAAGAAATATTTCACTATGAGGGGCTCTGTATCAGGGGCCCAGAGAGCCTGTGCAGTTTGCATCCTTACAGATACTCAGCACCTGACTAGAAAAGGCCCTGAGCAACCTGCTCTAAGCTTAAATTTAAGCTTACCTAGGCAGTGGATTGAGCTAGGTGACCCCCAGAGATTCCTTCCAGAATTAATTATTCTATGTATGGACACAAGTTTTGAGAGATTCTCCTGCTTATGTGAATGAGGCTGTATGAGCATAGCTGTTAAAGAAGCACCAGAACTTAGGTACATACATTTCTGTTTCTGTCACTCCTTATTTGTCCTTGCTTCTCACACACAATACACATGCAGTTGTAGCTTATGCTGTAGTTTCACTCTCCAGGTTCACTCTAATTTGGATCTTATCTTTGCTAGGCTGCTTGCTTTTGCAAAATAATTATTTTTGAGATCTCAACTTTTCTGTTAAATTGGGTCAAACCTGGATAACAGATTCAGAGTTACCAGGGAGAGCACAGTGCTTTGAATACTAGTGCAATTGCTTAAGGCTTATTTTCTTAAACATATCAAGCAGGAAAATAGTCAGTAGTCTAAACAAGTATACCCAGATGACTAAATTCTGGTCTAGATGTTTTGCCAAATATTTTCATCAAATACTTTCATCTCATATGTTCCATTTGATTTTATTCAAGAATCATATAATAAAAATCAACTGTAACTTCTTTTGCTAAAACTCTTGGCATCACGAGCTAACAGCCAGCTGAACCACTGCCTGATTGGTGTTTGCTGGGTAAAGTCTTTCTAGCATTTTATCCAGGAACAGCAAGAATTGACATACTTAGTGAAGTGCAGGCACAGTGAAGTACATAAACAGTACTTTTAGGTTTCTCAGTCAGCCACAGACAAGTTTTTTTCCAACTCAGTGGAATATTTCCTTTTTCCTTTACTTCATTTCCAGAAGAAACAATCAAATAAAACTATATCAGACTGTAACTATTATTTTCAGTAAAAAAATACCTGGTTTTAGGTAGGAAAACCTTAGTACCTATTGAGCTTACCCTTCAGAGGGGAATCCATTTCACCCATCTACTGAAGTAACCACCTTTTGTGAGAAAGCAAAACTTGATTTTATAGCTAACAGGAAGGGTTAAAAAAATTGCAAATACTTTTAATTTTTCCCTAACTTAGCATTTGTCACTTAAAATCTGTTGTAGTTTTTATTCCCATAATCATAAGCACCTCCTTGAGGGGAGAGGGAGGTCTGTTCGTCAGGAGCCTTCCAAGCAAGATAATTTCTCAAAGACTTGTTAAACTGTGCTTATTCATAAATTCTGTCTGCCTGCTAATCCTAGTTAAATGATAAAGGTGGAATTATTGTTTATCTGTCATCCTTCCCCGAGTTGGGTTGATTTCCATGCAGTTTCAGAAATCCAGCTCGGAGCTTGTTTGCCTGCAAAGCCATAGCTCTTCCAGCTTAACAGAAACTCATGAAGATATATAGGCTAGAAGAAGTAGCACTTCTGTAGGCAGAGTTACATGACAAAGCTTGAGAAACATGGAAAGTTACCTCTAAAATCTGTTTTCACTGTTGTCTTTTCTGCTGTGCCACTTCTTGCAACACTTCCATGAGCCTCATATTTCTGTCATATTTCTTTTCATTCTCTGAAAATTGTTACAACTGATCTATCTGAATTCTTTTCCACTAAGATGATACTCAATGAAATACCATGCAACTGTTTGCACCCCTTCATATGATGTCATTATATGTATTATATTGGAGAACTTATAAAGAACTTGAATTAGGTGATCAGCCCTTGTGCTTGTCTGCTTGCTTACATGCAGCATAGCTAAGCAGGTCTTTCTTCTTTTCTTCACTCTGAGGTTTAAGGCTCAAGCTATAATTCTTTGTATGGTAATTTGTTGGGAATGGAAGGAGAGTGTTAATTTTTCTTTAATCTCTCACCAGGGGATTCAGCATATATCTGGTGATTTTCACTGTCTTTCATCAGATTATCTCTGTTAAAGATAGCTCTACGTGTCCAAGTCTGTCTCTTATACACATCTGTTCTTTGTAAGTTCTCCAATATAATACATATAATGACATCATATGAAGGGGTGCAAACAGTTGCATGGTATTTCATTGAGTATCATCTTAGTGGAAAAGAATTCAGATCGATCAGTTGTAACAATTTTCAGAGAATGAAAAGAAATATGACAGAAATATGAGGCTCATGGAAGTGTTGCAAGAAGTGGCACAGCAGAAAAGACAACAGTGAAAACAGATTTTAGAGGTAACTTTCCATGTTTCTCAAGCTT